CCATTCAAATACTTTTTAGGAAGAAAACATTTGAATTTTTCAAAAATTTTGGTGTCCGGTTCCATGAGACCGCTTCTGAAGAAAAATATAACCTTCTGAATGGAGGGGTTTGGATTGCAACGTAATTGCTACAAGGTTTAGTTTTTCAGATTATAAAATAAGGAAAATTGAGAGATCGAAAAAACTTGGTAGGTTTCTGAAAGTAGAAATTTGATTTAAATCATGTATTGGTTTACGCAAAAATTTGGGAAATTCCTTCTATTTAATGAATAAAACTTCATGTTGCCTCGATTTCCTCCTCTGAGCGAGACAAAGCGCGCGGATTGACCACGGTCCACCACTTCTCCATGTTGGTGACTGCCCACACATCAATGATGAGCATTTTAATTACCCTATTTTCCGGTGTATAAGCCCGCGCTAGTATCATGTAAAAACACCTCCACTGGTGCAGTGTACTTGAGTACATCTAGAGTCAACCGTAACATGCCCATAGGGGTAATTCGATATGCTGATCACGAAAACGACATTCGTTTTTAGCGGTGGCGGCATCTGGCGCCAGTTGGCGCCACCTTGTCACGACCCTTGTTTTCGCCAAAATCGGTGTAAACTTCAGTATAGGGGTTATTTGGGACCCTGATTACGAATATGACATTCGTTTTTGGCGTTAACGTTGTTTAGTGCACATGTCTCGGTTGGAGAGCGCAGACGAGCAGAAAATAGGCGTCAAACAGCGCCAGCGCCTATAATGAATGTCATATTCGTAATCAGGGTCCCAAATAACCCCTATACTGAAGTTTACACCGATTTTGGCGAAAACAAGGGTCGTGACAAGGTGGCGCCAACTGGCGCCAGATGGCGCCAGCGCTGAAAATGAAAGTCATTTTCGTGATCAGGGCATCGACTTACCTCTATAGGCAAATTTGCGGTGGTTTCTAAGGTGTACAAAGTTACACTGCGCGAGCGGGGGTGGTTTTACGTGAAATCGGCGCGGGCTTATACACCGGAAATTAGGGTCTGCTGAAAGACGTAATAGTTAATACGGGGGTCGTACCGATACCCTCCGAAAAGGAAGAGTGTCGCTAAGACACGTAAAAATTTTAGCATTTGCGCAACGCAGGGTTGACCCTGGCTTCCATCCCCTCCCCAACATTCAGCATACGGCCCCAGCAGAAACGCCAAACGGGCTGGTTTGCTTACTTCCCTTCACCGCACCATCGACGCGATTAAGAGACAAGTTGAGGCCGTTGTCAATACATATTGGTCGCAACCACTTCGAAACTTTGCAATCAAATATAAAATGTCATGGCTTGATTCTCATAAATTGACTGATTTCGAACTTTTGTAAAGAAAAAAATAGTTTAGACGTTTTTTATGGCACACGTAATTTTTCGCCACCTTGTATATTGGCGCTGGCAATAATTATTCTTGAATTCTACATCATTCTTGTATAAAATAGCGACTCTCTATAATTGCCCCGAAATACTTCCGTAGTGATCGTCGGAATCAATTAGCGCTCTTCTTATTGTGTCTATACCTTGTTGATGCAAACTTGACCATGTTTTATCACATAAAACTGGATGCGCGATGATAATCGCTCGTCGGCTCGATCTTCATGCGTTTATCTTTGCGCTAGCTTTTATCATATCAGCGATTCCCTAATCGATCTTTGTCTGCCAGTTCCATATATGGGAAGCAATCTGAAGCCTTAACAAGCGGCACGCCATTAATCGCTGGCCACTTCATCTCCATGCTGTTACATCTTCTCGTTACCGTATTCCTAGCGACACCACTTTATTCCTCTGCAGCCCTTGTACAATTCCAGCTATCAGAGCTATGGCGACTACGATCACGAGACAATGTCCACTTATTCCCAACGCTGTCCTCTACCGTATATCCAACATTTGCTGGTTTTCGGCACGAGACCGGTGTCAGTCGCGTACATTTGACAGCAGACGATGTGAAAAAATTTGCTGCTGGTCTCAACGACACCGAAGTGGCATCTGTCTGTTCTTATGTGTACATGGGCTCGACATTTTACGTGGTCAACACGGTCCAATCAACGGACGACGATGTGGAAGTGTCGCTGAACTTGACGTTGGCCGAGTTGGAAGACATGACTGAGGAGATGATTACGCGTTCGATGAAGCCGTCCCACATTTGTCGCGGCAGTGATGGATTACATCAGTGAGTCTGACACTTTTCTGGCTTTTTTCCCAAGATTTCAAGCACATTATCTAGCAGCTACAGCTTTTTCATTTCCCCGTGGCCACGTTGTACGTAGATGAAATTAATATGTATGTGCAAGACATAAGATAAGCCTAGCGACACACTTGCGCTATGAAAGCAGTGACGGCAACTCTGAAAAAAAACCAGCTTTCAAGCAGGTTCAACTGTCTGTTGGGGAATTCCCAATGAGGGAGGGGGTCCACGTGCCATTTTTGAACGGCGGCTCGTTGTGCTTGTGTTTAGAGAGTATCATTATGGTGGAAATTGAAGGAGAGAATCGTTACGGGAGTAGAGAAGCTGCTCCTTGAAGTGGGGAAGGAGGGGTCGTCCTAACTTTTTGTTTTCCTGACGTTACTCTAACAATAAAATACTCATACGATGAAGGCGAACATGTGATCATAATTCAGAAAACGTAGGATATATTTGCGAATGGCAGTAGCGAAAGCGGGAATTTTTGCTGTAGCTTGTTAATAAATAAATAAATAAATAAATAAATAACTAGATAAATAAATAAATTTTAATTTCCTCATGTATTAATTCGGGATAAGAGAGGTGTAATCATATCTTCAATGTCACCACCTTATAGATAATGTTATGCCTCTATTATGCATCAATGTATGAAAATATGCCTAGCTATGCTGGTAATTTCTAGTGGTTGGGGTTCTTCAGTATTTTAAACACGTGAGAGCTAGATGTCTGATTGGCCTGTCACCATGGAATGGCAATTGAACAAAATTGTGGTGCGTGATGCTGATTGTGGGAGAAGTCTATTCCCCATCGGTTATTGCGATGTGTGGCGCGAAAAAAGTAATAAAAATAGGACACAGCCGAGAAATTCACTATTCTGCGGCCCGACCGCTTGTAAGTGGGTTGAAGAAACTCAGTTATGAACTCTCGGAAGAAAATACCAAAAAAATGAAAATGCAAAGAGAAACGAAAAAAGTTCTCAAAGGTATAGGTAAAGGACATGAAAGAAACCGAAGAGCTTCATAGATCTCAGTCAAAATGGACTTTCGACCCCAATCGCTGGAAGGAAAGATTTAACTGACAAAAAACATCTACTACGAATTCCTGAGAGCTTGATTATCCCTTGAAAGTGCTTCTTGATCTTTTATCGGGAAGTCATCGTAGAAAAATGAGGATAAATAGTGCGAACAACCGGCTTGCTTGAACTGTTCCTGCCTAAACGAAAGTGATATGTATTTAGACTTCCGGGCTCGGCGATAATTCACTTTCGTGTTCATAAACTGTTTGTATTTGGAGGATCCACTTCTGACCAGTACTTTGTTAGCGAACAGCAAGTTATTTCTCTATCAATATACAATTGCAAGGACGGAAAGTGTGTTGTGGTGGACCGGCAAGTGGGCTGTTCATCCAACGAGCCGGTAAGGAGCATCAAATCCTGGAGTGTGCGTGTCTAGGCTAATGAAGACCTGACCAAATCGTTATTCGTGATTCCTAAACTGCAATGAAAAGTGGAATCGCATCGCCATTCAAAACGAAGATTGGTCATCGCTGAATGTTTTATGCCTTAATAGCCGATAATACTGAGTGTATACATTAACGACCAAATCAACGATCTCTAAACTTGTTCAAAAATTTCAGGGTGGTATGGCGCGGCGGTTCCTAAGAAGTATTTGCGTCATTTCATCATACAGGAGGGCGATATCATGGCGATATTGCATGAAGACGGCAAATATGGACGGCATGGATACTATCCCACTTCAATTCAGGCAAGAAGATAATCTCAGCTAAAAAATATTATGACAGATATGAAAAAACCTGCATGATTTGCACAAAATCAGGTTTACCGTTCGGAAAATCAGACTACAGCGTTAATCGTTTGGGAAAAAGGATATGGCGTAAAGTGGGTGAGCCCGTTCTGCAAGTACCGTATCACATGAACTTCGGCCGAATGACGATATTCTACCAGGTACCGTATCCAACTGGGCAGTGATCTTCCCATCATGGATGAAGAAATGGCAGACACCAATATGAAACCTTCTGTCGTCACTGGATTACCAGGGTTACTACTGTTAACGAACCTATTTCTTTACAGCTTGGATTTACTCAACAAGAGTAGGAATTTTAGCAGAAGGTCGCGTTTTCCGACAAAGTTCTTTGTGGTCTGGCGTTCGGACGAGTTCACATGGGCAGGGCGGACTATACCACGGGTGATGACCCCTGGACTGACTCCCATTAATACTACACAACTCAATGAAGCCGTCGAGGAAGAGGTAAGTCCCTTCTCGGATTTTTGCCGTAGCATATTTCCCACTGACGACGGAAGTTGTGCATTTATTGCGACATGCTTTTCATAGTTTCCATGGATATTCCTTAAATTTTCAATAAATTCTGAAAAATTCTGAAAGTGATTGCATTGTTATTTGGAGCTGATGCCGTATACATTCGCTTTTGAATTGGAAAAAAACTTCAAATAAATAAACAAATGCTACTTTTCCCCGTTGAAGGTGGCCCACCGGTGGGCCAAGCGGTTGTCAATGGATCAAGCAAGTAAATAGTTACAGATGAGGTCCTCTGAGATACCGTCACTCTCCATTTGCGTCTACAGGCATGGGCAAAGTGTTCTTTCGATCTCATATGGATTTTCTGATCTGCGCACTGAGACTCGGGTCAGTAACGCAGGCCTCCACGGCTTGGAGAGGTGATTGATTGAGAATATCTCTTGAAAAACAGAAGCCGTTATTTTAGGCACACCGAAGAACAGCTATCGTATCGCATCTATCAGCAAAACGGTTACCGCCATGGGTATCATGGAGCTGATGAATCGCCGCCACTTCAATTTGGACTCGAAAGTGTTTGGGGATAGAGGTAAGATCCTCTGGAGAGAATTAAGCCCTTCGCTACGCCAATTCTGAATCCGCACTGTTACGCGCACAGGCTTCTCAGCAGGGTCAACCCTATCGTTGTTACTTTTCGAAAATTTTTACGACCCCCCTCCCCCAAGGTGGATTTGGTACGACCCCCTTCTCGACCCTCGACCACCATATTCCTCTCTATAACATTAACTTCCACTACCACTCAACCCTCAAAACTCCGCCCACTTTTTCCTCCAAAAATGCCGTCGAGCGGGGGGGTATATAGTCCCTCTGAAACAGTAAAAATTTTCCCATAATTTCCCACAATTCCCTAAATTTTCAACCAATTTACCCTATTTCTACCTATAATCTCACTGTTTCCTTTTCTAGGGGGGTATATACACCGGCTGAAACGGCAAATTTTTATCTTGCGCGCCCTCTACTCGCACAACCTACTACCCACGAAATCTTAGTTTCTCCTCAATCCCACCCCTGATTTCGAGCAACTAAAGTGAGTACGACCCCCCCTCCTACAAACTCAACCAGGTACGACCCCCCCGTTGTTACTCGTAACAACGTAGGGTTGACCCTGCTTCCCGCCTCTCCGCGTTCGTCTGATGTCAGACCAAGTGATAAGGTGGGAATGTAAAAGATTGCAATCGGCCAAAGCGGCCGATGTATCCTGGACTCCCCACCCCCGAATTATATGGCTCGTTGTACGTGGTGAGATAACGACTGTTCTTGATCTGAATTCTATTCTGCCTGTATATATTACTGGTTTAAAGGCAAAGTTCGGGCTCAGACCCACTTAATGAGCCTTTACGGTGGCTAGAAGCGCTAGGCACGCAAGTGTAGGGGTCGCGTCACTTCCCTACTTCGAAAACCGTTATTTAGACGCTAGGCTCTAAGAACTTTGACACGCTCCACCTGCTGCGACACGCTCCGCCCACCGCTCGATATCTTGACTGCGTCGGAATGTTGATCTGCTATGCTCTCTCTACTTAGACTTCTCTAGCGCTCTCCGCGCTCACATTATCTCTCATCTCCCTGCCGGCCTTTTGAACTTCTCCGCACCGTAGAGGAAATGGCTCGTATTTCCTAAGCATTTCACGATTTCTTTTTCTCTTTTCTGCACTGGCGGTCCACTACCTACCCCTACTTTCACATTTAAGTGGAATTAACTCATAATTCAATCCTGAATCTTGCCTTTAAGACTCATTATCCACGATAAGAATGAAAAGAACAGAAATATTGCTTTCGTTTTGATAAAAAATTCGAAAAATCGAAAGGGCTGCTACGCGTTCAATTGCCCACGGACGTCTTTCACAAATGCTGGCGACGGGGATGCTTCCACTTGGTTCTTGGAGTGCCTTCACTAGAAACTCTTTCTGGCCTTCTGCTTTATTGCATTCACATCTTACACTTCTACTCCATCCTATTCTATCGATCGATTTGTCTCTATTCTCTAAAATCGCGCACTTTAATCCGATTCTTTCATTGCGTCTCCTGGTATCCAGCCGTCCTGGAAGGCATGCCCGCCTTTGGCTCCGCCCGAATTACCTTCGATTGTCCATAGAGTGTAGTTTTTGTACGTTTGTTTCTCTTCGGAAACCGAATCTTCATGCGTGAAACTTTGTGTGCTGTTTCCAGTGATCACAACTGACACATTCATGTCAAGAAAGAATGCAAGAATTTTCCGCGAAGGATTCCTTTAAGTGTTGGAGGATCGGCTAGATCCCTGTCACCGTTCAGTTCACGACATCACCTCCTCCTGCCACCCACACTCGCCCTTGCCAAAACACCTCGCATTTTTGTTGGAAATGGGTGCCACCTAGACTGATCACGCGTCATTCTCAAATCATGTGATGAAAGTATTAAAGCATGATCTGCTCACAAAAATGATGTGACTTGACTTGATCCCCCTTTTTGCACAAATTATATGAACTTGAAGGCATTCTCTCGTGGCTTGACGTCAGTCGCGCACATCCATGGATACGTGCTGTGACCGTGCGCCATCTTCTCGAACATTCTTCAGGTGGTTGGAGCAATCAAGACAAGCTCGAGTTCAATACTACACCGCAAACGTGAGTACACGAGCTTATGAGTCAGTGGCCGCCATTTGTCGAAATGTATCTACATATTACGACCCATTCCGCCATTGCCTTCAGTATGCAAAATGCAAACCTGGATAGTCGCAATGCGAAGATGCGTAAAAATCTCCGGTGACCTCTGAATTGTCTGGGTAGCTTTTCAACGCACAAGGTAGGAGCGGAGAGAAATTGGTTATTACTGCGAAAGAAGACAAGATTCCAGTCATTTTGGAGAGTTCTGAGACGTTAAATATGATGTCCTGCCGTTTAAGGCAAGCCCCGAGATAAAGCTGATGATAAGAGCGCTTTGTAGTGATGACTAAGCTGCGGATTGACCTGAAAGTGGAAAGGAAATTCTTTGGGAACGCTGAAATTAAGGCCTTAACCTTCAATAAGGTCGGATGTGGTACGATGGCGAGACAGGGCGATCAAAGAAGACAAAATTCGAGAGAGCACGCTGATCTCTACATCATTCGCGGTGGGTGGGAAGCGTTGCAGTGGGGGCCGATGGTTGCAGCCCCGTAAGGATTAACGCCCTAATCGCGAAATTTTTACAGACACACAATTACGAAGTGTACAGTACATAGTAAGCGTTTGGGGGGTCGTATCGAGACTCACGAAAAGAGAGGGGGAGGTCGTAGAATTTTCAAAATTGGTCCAACGTGACGGTTGACCCTGAGACTGGCTCTTGAGACCTACTTCCGACTCGTGCCTTTAAAAATGGCGATTGCTTGTTCGCGTCTGATTGTCTCTGGCGAAAGAAGGCAAACTCGAGTGAGTGATAAGTGATGTAATTCGGTAAAGGGTGAAGTTCATGATGAAAAGGCTATTAGGAAAGGTAGAAACGCTCAGTGTTCTAGGGATGAAAGAAACAGACGTGGGACCTTTTGCCCTGTGATTTTCGCATTGATGCGACTCTCATCGGTGCTGCCCTCTTGAACGCTAACGCTCTCTCTGCTAAACGATTGGAATCAGACGGTGAGAGGGTGGGCGGGCAGTGGCAAGAGCGGGGCGAAGTCCTGCTGGGCCGCTCGGTATCCTTTTGCTGAGAAAACGCGCCGTCGTCCGAACTCGTAGGGCCCCACCTGTTCTTCTACACTATACACATAGGTATATTTCCGCCCTTTTACAACCTCCAGACTTAATCATACGAATTCCATTTAACACGCCCTAGGGAAGGACGATAACCTTTCATCTCAACAACGTATAGATGACCGCCAATGGTAATCTGGCTCTCTTAGCAATCCTAAATCGCGGCACCAGATAAGGCTCAGTTTCGTGAATTCCGATACGTTTTCTTTTCTTCACAGTTGCATCAATTCTGCCTCTTTGCGAGAATGATTCCATTTTCTAGCTACCGCAATCGCTGCTTTAAATAGTATGTGACTGCCAGACCGGAGGTCACATACAAAATTCTAGAGATGCACAAGAACATTCGTGTTTTAAGTAAAACCAGAAGTTTTAGTCTACATCAAATGATAGGAGCCTATATACGAAATCGTAATAACTTCGTATAGCATACATTATACGAAGTTATACGAAGAGTTGCTGCATGAGAAAGGATCTGCATTAACTGGTAACATTATAGACCAAGGAAGCGGCACCAAGTCAAAATGGGTAGTGCTGTTTGTTTCACCATAAAAATTTGCGCTATCTAGCATACCAGTTTAGGCTTAGAACAAAACCGCTCATCTACATCCAAAACGCACCATGCAATGTTCCGTTGATTTTGAAATTTATGATAATCCTGTCATAAGCCTTCCTTTTTATGTTGAGAGTGGATTTCGTACCTAAAAACCCTATCGTTGTCGTCTCACATCTCCTGTAGAGACCCACGCACTGAGGCTGCAGCTAACACTTGAACTCGTCCAAAGCCAACTGGTAAAATGACGGTTTTAGTTTGAGTTTTCTCACGATTTACTCAGATTCCTTCTTCACTGTCGCACCATTTGGCTCTGCGTTCAAATTGTACCACCATCGAATTACCGTAATCACTTTCTTTAAGTGAACGACTGAATGGTACGACGCTACTGGAATTCTACATTCGATCTTACGAGCCAAAATTTCAGCCAGGAAGGCGATATCTATATTCCAACATTGCTTACGTCTTTTTGGGTAGGATCATAGAACAGGTATGTACATTACAAAAAATTGAAATCGTTTTGAAATTACGCTGTACTAATCTCGCTAACGTTTTCAATGGTACCAGCTGGCCCAAAAAGATACCATTCTGAACATATCAAAATAGTATATCAGTGCTGAACTCTTATCGACGGATTATCGCACATTGTGCGTCGCAAGAAAGGGGAGTGGGGTTTTAATTGAAGCAGTGGCTGCCTGGTTACTGGCCATCGTGGGAAAGGAATTATTTATCCTGTACTGCACCTTTTTTCCAAGGGTGATTTGGAGTTTTCTCAAAATTTTTACTCGTCGTTGGATTTAGCTACGATTTTGTCGCTAAAGGTAGTCTGAGCCGTAGAAAACGAATATCACCTACATTTGATGAGAGAGCGCTTGACACCCGTGCTAAAGGCGTCAATGATTGCATTCGTGTGGCGCTAGCGCCTGTAGCGGGAGTTGTATGCACTTTTACAGCAAAATAAATTCATTCATTCATTCATATTCTGCGCGCCACACTACCCTTCAAAGCAGATTCCATCAAGTTTGGTGACCCAAGGTGCTTTGGCGCTGACGCCTATAGCGCTCAGGGCGCTTCGCGACAAACGGATGCGACATTCGTATTCTACGGGTCTGACAACCTCTGTTTTCAATCTGCTAGCTAAATTCACCGATGACAACTTTCGAGGAAAATCCAACCCTATTGAACTGCCCAGCAGTAAAGGGTGAAGGAAGTAAACAAAATAAATAAAAATAAATAAAATAAAGCCAACAAAAGTAATTTGCCAGAGATTTCTTAAAGGCCTAATTTTCTGGGCGAGCCTGCGAGACAGCCAGAGACAATCTGGTAGGGAAAGCGCTAAGGCGAGTGAACCAACTCGAAGACGAAAGAGCCAAGTGGAGGAGTCAGGCGCAAAAACACGGCATCAACACGAACGCTATGCCTCTATTCTGCCATGGAATCGAGTTTGAATCACGAAAATTGCAGTTGTAGACGCAACAACCTCACTCGGTGGAGAGATTGGTCCGACAAACCTATCGAAGAACGGAGTAATAGTGGAATGCCGCTTCGAAATGTCCAAAATTGACATCCTTTCCTCTTCGAGTAAAATTCTGTAATCAAAAACTCACGCCTTTTCCTTGCGTAACTGAAGTCTATGAAGCTATCTTGCTTGAAATCACTGTTATTTTTCCAACACTAGTTCACAAAATCAAAAGAATATGACATTCCTTATGCACTAATATTGGCATACTGCAAAGTACAAACTATTCAGGTCACTTTAACAAAGTACAGCGATTTCATCCAAGACGTGATTTTCAAACCGAACAAAATCGAGGCACAAATTGGCGTTGCTGAGCCAG